TTTATATCGGTTTAATGCATTAATAGAATTTACTAATTTTTTCCAAATATTATATTAGTTTACAAGATGGCTGGAGAGCTACGGGGCCATTGATAATAGATGGGAGCTGGACTAAATTTCATTATGTACTTATATATTTATTGAGCAGTCCTGCATACACAAATCTTAAATGGGCCAGACTTTTTTAAAATTTTAGTTCACCTCAAAATCAAATCCATGAACTTCTAATTTTAGGTTTGGTATTTTTTTGAACTTTATTTTATGTTTATTTTTTAAGATTTAGTCCATCTTTCCTTTTAAAAATTTTAATTTTTGGTATCTTGAGCTAAAGTTTTGCACATTCCTTAAAAGACTTGCAATAAATTTTCTGAAAAATCTCAAAAATTTTCAAGATCAGAAAGTATATTATTTTATTTTTCTTAACATTAAGTAATAATAATAATAATCCAGAATGATTTCATATTTTTTGGAGAGTTATATATAAATCTTATTGACTGATTTCCATCATGGACTATTCATGTAACCATTATTTTTTAAAAAAAAAACTTAAAATTTTTTTAAAAATAAATTTCAGAAGAAATTGAAGATTGAGAAAGTAATTTTCAAATAAATTAAAGTGATCTTTCTATCAGAAAAGATTTGATCAATTTACCCAAACAAGCTCCCGTGGCAATTCTATATATACGCTTAGCTCCATTCAATCCTTATCTTTGAGAACCATACAACAAGAGCAAAAGCCACAGAGAGAGATCAGAGACATCAAATGTCTTTCTTTCTGAGAAACATGACAATCTGGTGAAGGAATCATGGGAGGTCCCGAAGAAAACATCCCTGAATGCAGCCTACGTTTCTTCGCCACGTAAGCTATATATATATAGGATTTTAGACATTGCACCGGCAACAAAGGACGTGTTTTTCTTTCTGAAAGACTCAATGGAGCTACCACAAATTAATCCCAAAGCTCAAGACCCGTGCCGTCAAAGTTTTGAAGATGGTAAGTCGTATAGGCTTATGGCTAGTATTTACTTTTCCATAATAATAATAAGTCTTATGCATAGACCAGAAGGACTTGATTTAGATTTTAGCATCTGTCTTAATTTTTTTTTTTTGTTTTGGCAGATTATCTATTTCATGCCCATATATAAATGAGTGGTTAAAGCTTGAATCCAATGAAGATTTTCCTTTCAAATAGAATCAAGTTTGATTATACAAAGCTTATAACATTTGTAACGTCATGATCTAAAGTAATTAATAAATCTGTTAGACAAATATTGAAGTATTAATTAATCAGCCTTGACCTCTAACGTGCAAATTTAGACCTGTGAGTCAGCATTTCATCTCCACGAGAAAGAGAAGGGAGAGGTAGTGTTGACTGGTAACTGAGACCACCTTGAAATATTTGAAATCCATCCCATCTAAAAAAAGGAGCGATTGAGCCTCCCTTTGAGGAAAATACAAAATTTTTAATTTCAAATATATTATAGCATTTGAACATTTTCATCACTTAATTTTATAGTAAAATATAAATTAGTCCCTCTTGTTTAGAGAACCAAATTAATTAGTCCTTTTTATTTAAAAACTAATTATTTAGTGCTTTATATTTTAATTATGTCAATAACTCAAGTCATTTCATAAGTTTTTTTTTTAGATTAGTGATTTTTGTTTTCAGATTGTTATTTCTTTTATTTTTGATTGAAGGGAGAGAAAATGAGTAGGTGAGGATGAGAAATAAGAGAACAAAAAAAGAGTAAATTAAACGGAATATTTTCCTTGATTAATTGATTTAAATTTTTTTACTTATTTATTTATTTATTTTGGTGATTGTGAGAAGCTATTATTAACCTTTACTATGTTTCCAGCAAGCTTAATGAATTCTTTTGTCCAAATTATGATGTTAAGCTGAAAATGACAAATGCAACACCAATTCGTTTATGTCAAATTTATGAGGTTTTTGAGTCAGCTTTAGCTTTGCGGCCGACAATTTGTTTGTCTAATGAAATCTATACATTTGGAGTAAATTATAAATGAGTCCCTCTCATTTCCAGAAACAAATTAATGATCCATTCTTATTTTAAAAACTAATCATTTAGTCTTTATGTTTTGAAATCTATTTGTAATTTAGTTTTTTTAATTTATTTTTATTTTATAAAAAAATATGAAAATATTGATGAGAAAGTAATAAATTTTTGGAATAAAAAAATTAAATTAAGCATAATAAACACTGATTAAAAGATTAAATAATAGCTTTTTAAAATGAGAAGGATTAATTAATTTATTTTTTAAAACTAGAGGGACTGATTTATAATTTACTCATCCATTTGTTGTACAATTACAGCAACTATTGGATCTGGTCTTTGAAAAAAGAATATATAAATAAAAATGCTAAGGAGTAGATCTGGATCATTAGGATGATGAAAATTAACGAAGAAAAATGGATAATAAAAGAACCTGCTATAACTATAAAAAAAAGTTAGCTCTAATTTAAAGTTTCTCCACCGGACCATTTTAGAGTCTAAGTCCACGTGGAACTATGTTTTTTTTTAAAAAAAATTATCCGACGCATATCGTTTAGCTTTTTTAATCTTAATTTAAAAGTCACAGTCGATCAACATACTAGTAAATTATAAATTATTCTCTCTACTTTCAATAAATAAATAAATATTCTTAATTTTATATTATTTTTATTTCGCATTTTTTTATTTTCTCTTCAATTTTTTTCAAATTTTTTTAGTTTCTTAAAAATAATAATAATAATAAAATAAATTTAAAAAAAAACTTGCAGATAAAGTTAAAAATAAATAATTTATTTTTAAAATGATAAGAACTAATTAATTTATTACTCTATTATAGTTTACTCATCAATATACACATATCATATTATATTATAATTTACTCATCAATATACACATATCATATTATATTTACACGAAATATCAAACAAACTCTTAATTTATTAGTTAAGTCTACTCATCTGATACAAAGAAATATGCCATTGATGATTTTTAAATGTTTCAATTCCTCTCCCACCAAAATCAACAAATATTAATACATTTCCAACATGAAATACAAATCTAATTTAATATTTGTGATTTTTTTCAAGCAAGTGGATCTCAAGACATTGCTTAGCTTCATCCTCCCGGGATCAATTTAATATTTGGATCCTCTGTCTTGGAGCTGCCTTATGATGTGGAAGGCTTTTTTTGCTTCCTTGGTAAATTCCATTTTACCTCTATATCGGTGGAAATATTTTCAATGTTCTATTTAAATTAAGTCATGCGTTTGTAATTTTTTCTACTTCTCAAAGTATAATGACAGACAGAGAGAAATTCGACAACAAAAAATCGGTAGAAAAATCTTGTATTATATATGGTAATCTTTTCAATGATTAAACATACAAAAAATTGAGAAAAATAAAAAATAATCTAGAATGATATATAATTCACACCTAAATCTTACTTAATAATTTATTTCATGAAACTATTTTTATGACTATTATTTTTTACAAAAAAAAAAAAAAAAAAAACCTAAAATATGTACTAAATTTTTTTAAAAAAAAGTTCACCAAAAAAGTTAAATGTGAAATTAGATATTCAAAAAATAAGTTTCAAATAAATTAAAATTCAGAATAGATTTAACCTATTTAGCCAAACAAGCTTACATGACAACTCTAGATATTCAGATAATTACATTATAAGTACATCAACTTTCAACTTTTTATCAATCCAATATATGAATTTTTTTTTTTTTTGAGTACATTAATCTTTTCAAAATTATCAATCAAGTACTTTTATCGTTTTTTCGTTAATCGACAACTTGTCCGGTATCTTTAAATACCAAATTATAATTTGACTATTTTTCTCAATCAAGTACATGAATTTTAATTTTTTTTCATTTAAATACATCAATTTTTTCAAAACTATCAATTAAGTATTTCTATCACTTTTTTTTAAATTGATGACGTATTTAAATATGAAATTATAATTTTACCTCCTTTTTATTGAAAGAAACTTTCTCCTAAAATTATTTTACTATTTTATAATTTTATAAATAATTAAAAAAATTATTCATGTCTCTAAAATTTCAAACCAAACTCGATTAGATTGCTATTAAATAAATAAAAAAAATCAGTTAGGTTTAAAAGTGAAAATTGAAGAAAGACACAAATGAATCTTCTCGATGAAAAATCTCACATCTGCGTTTCCTTCCATTTTCACGTCCAAAACCTAATTTTTTTTTTTTTTTTTTACAGCAAGCCTCACAGATTTTAGTTCGAGATTTTATAACTATATATATATATATTTAATTTTTTTGTCAAATTTTAAAATAATAGAATAATTTAAAGAGAAATTTCTTTATAACAAAAGATGAAAAAATGTAATTTGATATTCGAACACGTCATTAATTAATTGAGAAATTTTCAAAAATATTTGATTGACAATTTTGAGAAAGTTGATATACTCAATCTAAAAAAATTTAAGTTCTCGTATTCCATTGAGAAAAAAGGGTAAATTTGTTATTTGATATTATGAAGATAACGAACACGTCATCAATTAACAGAAAAATTGATGAAAGTATTTGATTGATAATTTTAAGAAAATTATGTACTCAAACGAATAAAATTAAAATTTATATATTAGATTAAAAAAAGTTAAAAGTTGATATATTTATATTGTAATTATCCGCTATATACACGCATAGCTCTATTCAATCCTTATATTTGAGAACCATACAGCAAGAGCAAAAGCCACGAAGAGAAGGATTAGAGGCATCAAATGGCTTTCTCTGAGAAACAGGAGACTTTGGTGAAGGAATCATGGGAGGTCCTGAAGCAAAACATCCCTGAATACAGCCTCCGTTTCTTCGGCACGTACGCTGTATATATATATTCTCCACAGAATTGCATCACAATCTATTTCTTTATAAATGTTTTTATTTGATGATATATATATATATATATATATATATATAGGATTTTAGAGATTGCACCGGCAGTAAAGGACATGTTTTCCTTTCTGAAAGACTCAGTGGAGCTACCACAAAATAATCCTAAGCTCAAGGCCCATGCCGTCAAAGTTCTTAAGATGGTAAGTCTTGTTGGCTCATAGCTAGTGTTTACTTTTCTATACTAAAAAAAAAATATTATCTACTTGATTTGGATTTTAGCCTCTGTCTTCATTTTTTTTTCCTTGGCAGATTATGTATTTCATGCCCATATATACATAAATGAGTGGTTAAAACTTGAATCCATTGAAGATTTCTTTTCAAATAGAAATAAGTTTGATTATGCAAAGCTTGTAACATTTGCAATGTCATGATCCAGAGTAATTAATAAATCTGTTATTAAATATTGAAGTATTTATCAATCAGTTTTAACTTTTAACATGCAAACTTAGACCTGTGAGTCAGCGATTCAGCTCCATGAGAAGGGAGAAGTGGTCGTGACTGAGACCACCCTGAAGTATTTGGGATCTGTCCATCTCAAGAAAGGAGTGATTGAGCCTCACTTTGAGGTAAATACTAAAATTTTAGTTTCAAATAGATTAAATTACCTGAACATTTTCATTACTTAATTTTAGAATAAATTATAAATTAGTGCCTCTTGTTCAAAGTAATTAGTCATTTTTCTTTAAAAAACTAATCATTTAGTCATTTGCGTTTTAATTTCATCAATAATTTAGTCATTTCATCTATTTTTGTCGGATTAGTTATTTTTGTTTTCAATTTGTTTTTTATTTTGATTTTTGACTGAGGAGAGAGAAAGAAAGTGGGTAAACAAGAAAAATAAGGTAAGTAGAGAAGGATAATTTGAAAAAAAAAATCACTAATCCGATGGAAAATTGATTAAAAAAAACTAATTTATTGATAAAATTAAAACATAAATTATTAGTTTTTTAAATAAGAAGGACTAATAATAATTTACTCCTTAATTTTATCATAATTTGGTTAACTTTTTTCTTTTAGGTGGTGAAAGAAGCCTTGCTAAGAACAGTTAAAGAAGCACTTCGAGAAAAATGGAATGAAGAGATGGGTTTAGCCTGGGGTGAAGCTTATGATCAGTTGGCTGCAGCCATCAAGGCTGAGATGAAAGCAGAGGCTGCTGCTGCTGTTTCTGCTGCTCAAACATCTTGAAAAATCCGTTGATAAATGTGTATTGCTATTTATACAAGCAGTATTCTTCAATTAAAATGGATCGTCATTTGTAGGTTGATTTGTTTCTAAAATGTGTGAGGTCCCATTTCACTGGAGCCTGTATTTATTTGTCGTTAATTACGACATGTAACAAACGTTTGAAATAATTGGAACTGTGATCATAATTAATTCATAAACATCAAATGATTGCCAAGTCCCAAAATTTTAAATTTAAAGTATTCATTGCTAGTTCATCACTACCGCATTTATTTTTTGTCTTGCCGTGTACATGATCAGATAGCCATACATTATTGATTTTATATTAAAAAAAAAAATCGAACCCAAAAACTTCTTGAAACAGAACGGTATAAATATCAGTTGAGTTGCAAACTTAGCTTAAAAAAAAAAAGTGGATCATGACCAATAAAATATATATATATATATATATATATATATATATATTATCCCACCAAAATCAAAAAGAAATGATGCCGTTGATTTTTAAATGTTTCAATTCTTGTCCCACCAAAATCAACAAATTTTAATATTTTTTCAAGATGAAAAATATTGTAATAGATTACTAACCTGTAATCTTGGGATAGGATTATTCTCCAATTTTTTTGGGATAAGAAATGCAAGATTTAGATCATCTCCACATTATTGTTCTGGAAATTAAGACCAATAATACAGCACTACAATTCCGTAGTGCTGATGGTGCCAACCAGTCGCACAAAGAACAACAATGGAGTATATAATTATATTTTTTTAGTTTTCAACGTAGAAAATCTTTATCGAGATTCCTTCTTTCTCCTACTCCCCACGCACAACGAAAGGTCCTTTTATTTTATTTTATATCACCTCTTGACAATCCAAAGGGACAAAATAAAATTATAGACATTGTTGTCATTACTTAAAAATTCAATCCTTCGTCTATGCTATAGTGATCAGATTATTTCCTATTCCTGCCTCTTTATGATGCCACCGACTTTTGATTTAAAAAAAAAAGGACTAGTTGCATAATTTGTCCTCTACTCTTAATATTCACCGAATGTGATCTTTTTATTTTTTTATTTATTTACCTAGTCCTTATACTTTTGACGTAATGTGGTCCTCTTGTTATGATTCCATCAATTTTTTTTGTTAAATGCAGACACTTGTTAAAAACATAGATTTTTGCTCTCAAAAATTTTAACAAGTAAAAGAAATAAGATTGAGAAATATTAGAAACAGATAAAAATTATAATTTTGAAAATTTTAAAAAAAAATGTATACAAAATATTACATTGAAAAATGGTAAAGGGAAATTGAAAACCTTTATTAAAAAAAAAAAGTAAATGGAGTATTTAAAAAAATCTTAAAAATTAAGAAAGAGAAAAATGGAAATGTGTTAAATCACTATTCTTCTTTTTTTTAAGCTTTAATGTAAAGAATTGAAAATATAAAAATTTAGAAAAATATAAAATTCACAAATTATAAAAAATAAAAAACAAAGTTAAAAATTTAGATTAAAAAAAAATAAAGCTACCCTTCATTGAAAATCTAAAAAAGAAAAATTGAAAATAAAATAAAAAATAAAGATAACTTAACATATTTTTATTTTTCTCTCTTATGACAAAGATATTTAAAATTCTATTTTTTTCTATAGGCTTTTCAATTTAAAATACTCTATTTTTAATCTACTTTTTTTTATAAATACCTTAGGGATTTTCAAATTTGCAATTTTTATTTTTTCTAAAATTTCTCAATTATATATATATATATATATATATATATATATATATATATATATATATATATATATTAGAACCTTCTTTTATTTTTAAAGAAATTCGAACTTGAAATTGTATATTCTTGACTCGTGTACATAGTTAATAGAAAATATAACGGAATCATAATAAAAAGATTATATTAAAAAAAATATTTAGAATAGAAAGAACAAATAAATATATAAAAAAAAATGGAATGATCACTTTAAAAAACATATTAAGAATAAACTAACGAATCATGCTATTAATCCTTAAAAAAACGTGGAGAAGGAAACTTAGTGCTCTTTTATCATTTTTAATCAAATCAAAAAACAAGGAAACAAGAAGAAGAAGAAGAAGAAGAAGAATCGGTTGGCTTTCGCTTTCTATTTGTTCATTTCCTGGGTTGTCAGTTAACAAAGCTATAAAAATATGGGCTTTATTTTACACTTTCGACCCACAAAAGCAAAAGGAGACCCCAGCAGAAAAGCTCGCAAATCCATTTTTCAAATAGACCTCAAGCATGTGTGCCTAGATAAACAAGTAAAAAAAAAGGAAGTGGGGTATGAACCTCCAAGGCCCGAGGGAAACTAAATTTGTCAACCACTCATTCGGGTGTTGGCTCTACTTCGAAAATCTGACCCAGCTTAGTCCATGTCTCTATTAAATGATAGTCACCTTTTAATTCAAGATTAGCAATGTCTGTTGGTCATTCTTTTATGTCAATTTTTTTCCTACCTAATTTGCTGACAGTTGTATCGAGAAATTGTAATAGTTGAAGGCGTTGAACTATAAATTGAGAAATTTAGAATTTTTTGTAGGATTAGAAAAATAGATAAAAATTAGGATTATTTTCCTTGCATTATTCAAAATTTATGTGCATTTCGTTGAATAAAATAAAGATTTTTTTTATAGGTCAAATTTGATATATACAATTTTTCAAATCTAACATGCGAAAAAAAATACACTTATTGCTACGTGACATTTAGAAGACTTTGAAAAAAATTATGTTATAAGAAAAAGAATTAAGAAAAAAGTTTTAAAATCGCTTATTAGTATTGAAAGAAATTAGAAAATCTAATGAGGATAATGGATTAAGTGATTTTGAGTAAGAAGTTGATTATATTTTTTAAAGATAACAATACTCAAAGGCACTTGCTTTCAAAAAAAAAGATATCGGATTTAATTTGATCCCAAAAATATCTTTTAAAAATTATGTTTGCCAAATTATTTTTAAATTTATTTGTCTAGATCAAATTACTTTGTATTTTTTATTATAATGTCGTATTAAATAAATGTAGGCCCTAAGATTGGGAGTCACGTCAATTTAGCATTGAATTTACTTACGTCCCGACATAACCTACATATCGAGGAACGAACAAATTAGCCAAAGGTGTTTGAACTGATTTGTATTTATCCTAACTAATTCTTTTATTTCTTCATATATATATATGTTCATCAAGGATCGAAACTAACACTGATCTTGTTTAGAAAGAACACTGTTAGGAGACTTAAATTTCCTAACTACCTTAAGAAAACATGTTCTTTTCTAATTACAAACTAAATTAGATATGAGATTGGAGTTAGTTACAAGAACTTAGGAGACTTGAAGATTTCACATCTAACTAAATATATTTAAACTTAAATAATTAATAAGTGAATTAAATTATAAACGAGACATGATAGAAAATAACGAAATAAACACAAAAAAAAAATCTAAATTCAAAAAAGAAAAAAGTAAAAACAACCTATTAGTATATACGTAAATATCCCTAAATTTTTTGGATTAAAATGAAATCGAAAAATGAACCAAATAATTAAATTCCAAAAACAAACCTCTCTAAAATTAAAATAATCAATAGAATAATAAATAAATTACGAACTAATAGCAAATGGACTCCATAGATTATGAAATTTAAACTACAAGCAAAGGATAAGAATATGTATGAACCTTAAAAATTTCGGATTAAAATGAAATTGGACACTAGATCAAATAATTAAAATTTCAAAACATAGCTCATTAATAATTAAAATAATGTTAGAATAATAAACAAATAGCAATTAAATTGCAAATGGACTCCTAAAATTACAAATTTTAAAAAATAGGCTAAGGAATAAAATATGTACAAATCCTAAAAATTTTAAATTAAAATGAAATTGAACATTGGACCAAATAATTAAAATTTTGAAACATAGCACATTAATAATAAATATAACAGCAGAATAATAAATAAATAGCAAATAGACTCCTAAAATTACAAAATTTAAAACAAAAGCTAAGAAAAAAATATATGCACAAACTCTAAAAATTTAGACTAGAATAAAATTTGACATTAGACCAAATAATTAATTTTTTTGAAACAAACCACAGTAATAATTAAAATAATGGCAGAATAATAAATAAATAGCAAACAGACTCCTAAAATTACAAATTTAAAACACAGGCTAAGGAAAAATATATATATGAAATCTAAAAATTTCAGATTAGAATAATTAAAGCATGCTATCAAAATAAATAAAAATCAAAACTAATCCTAGGATTTAAAACTCTATCAATTTCACCTCCAAATCCATCCACATTACGGACGTTATTGTTAATTACCAGAATGAAAAGATCCTATAACCACAAGGACTGTAATTTAAAACCAAAAACCATTTTCCCTTAAGTTTTGAAAATGAACTTAAGCTTGCTTTAATAGCATACTACCAAAAAAAAAAAAAGACCTCCTCGAAGCCTGCAATGGGGCTTAATTTATAGCCTTACTGTACTGGATTTCCATTCTACGATCATTTTCAAACGATCCAAACCCTTGCTAAAGTTAAAACTGACAGCGAGACATTGTATCGTTTGTGAGCAAAACAAAGTTTTTGACAAAAATGAAATGTGTGTGCAGTGTTTTGTCTGTGGGTGGGAGTAGGCGATGTAGGTGAGTGGTGTGAAACTTGATATTTGACTAGTACAAATGCCAACTAGGAATTCTGACTCTGAACGAACTTGTCTTTTTGGTAGAAGGTGATGAACACAACGGAGAGAGGGAGATTGATTTTGGATTGCAGCGAATAACAGATCGTTCAATCGATTTTGGTGCTATTATTCGCTCCTTAATTTTAATTGGGTCCCTAGACGTTTTAATTCCTTACAATTACGCCCCTAATTTTCATTTCAGTTGTACCCCTGTTGGCCTTCAATTTTAGTACCGACTTCATTCAATTAGATCCCTATTTCATTCAATTTTATCCCTAATAGACTTTCAA